ACATATGTATATATATCTCAATATCTTTATTTTTTTGTGCTGTGTTTACCTTACCATCTATAACTAATCAGTGTAGATATAGCGTTATATATCATATGTGAATGCTCCACCCGCTAATGGGTTTATTAAGGATATTTAACCAAATTAGCTGAGAAGAAGTTTTTCTAGCACATTTTCAAACACTTTATACAGTGTGTACAAGGTGCGATAACTCAATAAATAAAGACCTCCGAGACATTACATTTAACTCTCAAGATGGTATGGCTTTATCGGAGTTACTATCAAAATTGGACAATTGGGCAGTCCCGCCCACTTTAGTTGAAATCCTATATTTCACAAACTCTTTGACCAATTTCAACCAAATTGAGTGTATGACTTATTGTTCCACATTACTTTACTACGGAGTGAAAATGAGTGAAATCTTTAACCACACCTACTTCCCATATGTATATTACAATACAGTATATACATATAGCCAATGAAATTGTCGAAGTAAAACTTTGCACAAAATGCATTTATGGCATCTTGTCTCCAAAAATACTCGAAATCGCACAATAACTTTACAAGACCTCTGAAACCGAATATGTACACCTCACCCAGCCAGCTTATTTTTTTTATTGAAAATATCATTTTTTTCTGGAAATAATATTCTGTGATGCCAAAAATTCTTTCGTTTATATACTTCTAATAGCCCCCATACACCTAATATGTTAAAAAGATTTTTGACCTTCCGGCTTATATGATATGTGAATATGTGGGATATATGATCCACCCGCTAATGGGTTTAGTCTGCTTTCTGTCCGCTGCGATATCATACCAACTGTTCTTTTGTAATAGTTGTGGTTGCAGCTGTACGTAGGAGTTTGAAATGTTCCCTTCAAGTCGAGTAGAAAATCGATGTCGAACTTTCCTTGTGTTTGTTGTCGTGCGTATTTTGCTGCAGAAAGGCGGGTGCGAACCTTGGGTGCAACAAGATAGTGGTCCGAGTCAATGTTACGACTGTCTGCTATATCATATTACGTATGTTAATTTTAAGCTTCAGCTACCAGATAAAGCTTGGTTTCAACAAAAAATAAATCTTTTTTTCAATAAGAGTAGTTTCTATTTTATATCGTTTTTTCGTCTCTTGTGTTCCATTATTTTGCATTTTAAGTGACGGTATGTAGGTTTAACTGTCGGAAATTATCAATCTTGTTTGAATTTATGAATAGCGTACTTACAACTTCTTAAGTATATCTCGTTTTCAACTGATATTACCGAAATTTTAAAGAACTTAAAAATATATTTACTAAAAATCAAGAACAAATTTCGCCAGCGGTTATAGTTTTGTCCATGTGCCGAATCTCGGCAAATATTTGCCATATCTAATCAATCAGTGAACCGATCGATCATATCGTCGAAAGAAAGGCGATGATGCTAATATTATCATAAATGTTTTTAAACCCGATTAGGCACAGAGAAAATTACATTAGTCTAACAGTATGTTTTCTTCTTATTCAATTTCGATTTTATTTGCTTTTATATGTTTAATATATTTGATATAAATGCTGACATAATTTAGGCAAATTCATATCTTAAAGTTATGTATTGTTATTAAATTTAAAGCCATAAAAGTCATATTAAGGACTAGTATATATAATAAAAAGGTTATATAATTTTACTGTTTCTTGTAATATGCATGTGTATGTGTATGTGTATATGCCGTTATACATACATATATGTTCTTACATTCTTGTACGATTAATGATGCTAGCAGACTTGGGATGGATGAGGCTGAATGTGCTATTCCATCTATTTTAAACCCCCGAAAGTGGTTAGAAAAGCAATTTTTTATATAAAGTAATTGCGAAAAATATATTACAAAATTATTGTTTTCATATTGTCAAAATATTGCACTTAGGAAAATTTTAAATGCACCCTGGTTTTTGTCAAATAAAACAATCATTAATGATACAGGTTTAGCTTTAGTTAAAAATGGAATCAAAAGATTCAGTAGAAATTATTTTAATAGATTGAGTTATCATACTAACCCAGTTGCAAGAGCCCTATTAGATGACTCAAACGAAATTAACCGTCTTAAACGGCTTCATATATTAGATTTGCCATATAGAAATAAGCTGTTTATAAGTATGTACATATGTATATCTTATATGCACTTCTGTATATTAGTTCTGTACTCGTTGGAGTACAGCAACTTAGGTTAAGCAATGATTTTAATGTAGTATTACACAATTTGCTTATTGTCCTCGGACAGATTGCAAATAAAGGAAATCTAACAAAAAAAAATTATTGTTAGTAAGAAATAGAGAGAGTAATAAATAGAGGAGACTGTAGGAAAATGACTATAATATTCGCTGGTCACAGAATGGGGCTGACAGATCGAGATGATTTCTAATCATGTCAAGAGAAATACACCAGGGAAGCAATCTAACATCTATTATCTCGCACTAGCAAGAGAAAAGGCTTCAAACATTTTGAAGTTCCACGGTAAGTTGATATTGGAAGAGGTATCGATTGTGAGGCCAAGAAATGCGCGTCATGCGCTGGCCCCTTAAGGATTACTACTTCTCATGAACTACTACGTAACGCACCCCTTTTAACTTCGTTAAAGACCGTAATTGATTTATGCGTAGCTCACGAGCGTACCAGACTAACTTAACCTATGCTATTTTTATATAATCGAATGTAGCATTTAAATAATTTATAACTACTCTTATTATCTTCTTCTTCTTTATTGGTGTACACCGCTTACGCGGTTATTCGTTCTTCTTTTTTGCGGTTTAGCCACAACCACTGTATCCTTAAAAAGAATGCCTCCACCCACTATTGAACTCATTAATCCCTCATCCCCTTGTCCTCAAGGAGAGAACGTTCCGTCTGCTCAGGACACTGAGAAAACTGCTAATAAAAACTTAGTTGTTATACCGCGGAAAAAGGCAATTTTTGTCACGAGATTTGCTGCGGATACCTCAGTCGATATAAAAAGTTACATCTCGTCGAAATAAAAAACAGCAGATGCAGACGTCCGTAAATTTAATTTCAAGTATAACCGGGATATTTCGTCGTTTAAGATCGACGTATCCGCTGACAGTTTTCAATTAATACTTGACAACTCATTCTGGCCATCTGGGATCTTTGTGCGCGAATTTGAGCATAAACGTTTCAAACCCCCTGCACTTGTCAGTAAAATGCCAAGAAAAGCCGTTGATACAAAAAACTGATTAGCAATAATTCGCTGACTATTTATTATCAAAATGTTAGAGGCCTTAATACGAAACTTACTGATTTGTATTTAATCAGCATTCATTGTAACTTTAAAATCATTGCTTTCACAGAGACTTGGCTAAAGCCTCACATTTTTGATAATGAAATATTCAACAGCGAATTCGAARTCTATAGATATGACCGGCTGAATAAAAAAGGAGGTGATGTTTTGTTTGATGTTCATTCTTCAATTCCATCTGAAGAAGTCGATGTTCCGCATGTAGACTTCATAGAATTTAAATTCGTTCGTATTTGCGCTAATAGTGGCCATATCTACTTAACTTTATCTTATATACCGCCTCACTCGGATATATCTGTTTATATGCAGCATGCTTCATTAATAAATAATGTTTTCTCAATAGCTAGTAATACTGATTCCATGATTGTTTTGGGAGATTTCAATTTATCGTGCATATCATGGAAATCTATTGATGATCACACCATTCGTATTAGTACTCGCTTATGTTGTAACGAGTTTTTAGATGAAATGTCGGCGTTGGGTCTTATCCAAATTAATTTAATTTCAAACGAATTAGATAAGTTCTTAGATCTAGTTTATGTTGATAACGCTTCAACGTTCTCCGTTGTCCGATGTGATCCTTTGGTTCGGCCAGAGGATCCGTATCATCCTGCTTTGAAAATTGACAACTTGCATATAGCAGGACAGGAGTAATAAGTGACTTATTGGTCTTTGTTCGTCGAGAGAGGACTTAACTTATCAATTGCCTATTCAGTTCGATGTAGCACCTGTCGGCAAGAGTTATTTTGCGTTGGATTTTGAGGTTGACATTGTTGTTGGTGTTAATACCGGTTCCAAGATAGACGAAATTATCTACGACTTCAAAGTCTTATTATCTTCCTTACATTCAGATAAAGTCAATGTCCGATGCTAAATAGTTCCAGAAGGTTGCTAAGTCACGTAAATCATCAGTTTAGTGTATTTCTTTTTGGATAAACATAAATAGGTTTGCCAATCATCCACCGAAGTGGCATACACAACTTTTTGTTGTGTACTTTAAGTTAATGGTTTTGGCTGATAAATCAGATATAACTGATAAGTAAATGCTCAGCAGCCCATCAGCTTGCACGGGTTCAAAGGAGCGGTCTCTCTCAAAGGAGAAAATTTAGTAGCGGTCATTAAGCCGATATGACCACAACCCTTATTTACTATGTACTATGTCCTATTACCATAACGAAGATTTTCAAAGCAGAAATGACGGAAGTTTCATCACTGGTGATAAAATATTGGCGTATTTGTCTATCCCTAACTGAATGAAGGTGTAAAATTCTACCTCTCTAACTTTTCGAGTTATAGGACTGAATAAAAATTATCAAAGAGAAAGGGACCAATCAAAGTGGATTAGCCATTTACTGACTTATATTTTTGTAAAAATTTACCAATTAAATTGTTTCCATAAGAGATTTAATGCCATACAATTTGTGATTTATTAAAGCGATTTCATTCATCTGTTTTTGTTTAATTTTAACAAAAATTTATGCTCTAATAAAAAATATAAAAGATTTTCTCTTTAAAAATTTTCTTGAAACTGTCGTTTGTGTATAAATTATTGTGTATGTTTATATGAGTGAAATCTAACCATGTAATAATTGGGCATAGAACCTTTACATTTMATTTTATTAAAGTCTATGATCATTTTCATTAACTAATGTTTCATATTTTAAATAAAATTTTTACTTTCATCTTTCACTTAAAAATTTTGTATATCTCATTTCAGCAAATTAATCATGTGAAGTATTGTATTTAATCTGATGGAAATATCCTAAATACTGTGGGTTATAAAAAAGTACAGCACAAAATCAGCAATTTAGAGTACACAAGTTGCAAGTCTTTTGTCTGATTGACCATTGTTGCAAAAATGTCGGAAGATAACGCTTATAAGGATGGCGACATCGTTTGGGTGAAACTGGGCAATAACTGGTGGCCTGGTGAAGTCACCGATGTGCATCGTCAGCCTGATGACCTTCTCAAACAACTAAAAAAGAAACCCTATTGCGTTGTAAAGTTTTTCCAAGAAGATGCCTAGTCAGTATAATTATTCAAATTCAATTGTAAATAATGTTTCTAAATAACTGTCTACTTATCTTGTTCGTATATTTTTAGTGAATATATAAAGAGTGCAAAACAAATATTTCCTTTCCAATGCAGCAAAAAAGATGAGTTTATTAAAAAAGGGACTGGTGAGTATACTAATTTGTTTTCAAAATTTCATTATGCACGAAATAATATCACCCGTTTTTGAAACAGCTTTATATAATGCCAAAAATAAATTTATGGAGAAGTTCCCCTCAGATGTGGAGACCGCTGAGCGTTTAACACGTAAAACTATTGATTCAGATTTGCTGATTATAAATGATCGTCCAGATAGCATTGTCAAGGCAATACTAGGACCGACTCTTACACGACGAAGTGACGATTATTACGACAATGAATACATACATAGTTCCACCAATGACTACAACAATAAACGCAGAAGTGGGGTAGGTTCAGAATACTAACTACGTTATTTTAATTAATTTAATTATTTCACTTCCAATGGAACGTAGTACCTTCAGAAGAAGAAACGCTCCATCCCTATTTTCGAAATTATGGAGGACACCCCAAAATATATTAAATAAATTTTAAGTGAAGTTATAGTCAAAATATCTGTTATCTATATTTATTTATAGATTTAAAGTCTAGTAAATGTAAACGTCGAAACTGAAATTCTGTTTCGACTGAATATTTTAAATATCGCTCTTAAACTTTTTCATAATTAGCAGTTTTATTTTTTAAACTATTTTTACTTGCATTTGAAGGATTCTGTAACAAAAATCCTCAACATTACACCGAAACGTACAACAGCAGCAGCAAACCTTTCTCCAGATAAAGGAAAATCAATAATTTCACCGCATAGCACTTCAAGTTTCGTAACGAACTCTATCCCCAGCAGTGCAGAAACGAATTTTTATCGATGTAATTTGTGCGCTTTCTCTAGCCAAAGGCAAAATGTTATGATCTTACATCGACGGACACATAGCGGCAGTGGCACGCCGACATCCGCACAGACGCCTTCAACGTCCAATGCACGCAAGGTACCTTCGGCTACTATAACTTCAGAAAACGAGTGTAAGAGCTATATATCTACGATGACTTGGAAGCTTCAATTACCTACAATATCTTCGAAATGCGAACGAAACTCTTTGAGCGAAGATGATGATCAAAAATACCCTGCAGTACTCGACGCCAGCACATTTCACAGAGCAAAGTCCACAAAAAATGAAATCTTGTCACCGGTGAATAGTCGAAGCGTTAGTGGTACTAAATACAAGCCTTATCTACTCGCCGGAAGCGAAAGAGCAAGTCGCTCTTCTGCTGCAAGCACGTCGCGTGAGAAAGCATACACATCGTTGCGTATTGATGCCGATATAAAAGAAATTACTTTGCCCGACGGAATGCCAGTATCTTCCATAAAGGGAGAGCTTAAATTAAGTATTGAAGACGATACCACCGATAACTCATCGTCACATACGACAGAGGACATATTGAGATCATGTAGTCCGCGAAAGCGCAACATTGATTCCGGTGAAATTATTGATAACAAATCCACCGAGTTGAAAAGAACGGCTGAAGAAATACGCCTACGGCTACTGGCTGACTGGAGCGACGGTGAAAAAGAGGATGAGTTGATTGACGGTGTAAAACTGAATTTCAGTCTTGAAACGCCTTCAAAGATAGAAACACCACAATACAAATTAGATAAGTTAACAACAACCCCATCAACAGAAGTGAAAAGTGAAAACTCTCCATTGGATTTGGCGACACCAGTATGCACGACAATAAATAACTTTGGTGTACAAGCTTCAAGTCAGACTCAACATCAAAATCGTATTAGAAACATACCGAAGAAGGATCGACGTGACGCGGTATTAAAAGAATTCATAAATGACTATAATTTAGAGTTGCCTACGGTGGTTGATAATATGGAGAATATAAATTGTAATAGCAGCAGCAGCTCCGATTCAGTGGTTGTAGTTGGGGTTGTACCGCCAAATTGTGGCGAAACAATTATTCTCGATGACAATACAGGCACGGATGGTGAAACAGAATTAACGGTTGACAAAGATCGATTAATCAGAAATGAAGCATCGATAAATAATATACAATTCAATGATATAACAAAAGATACAAGTTCTATTACGAGCGTGGTACAAGAAGAACACTTATCTGAAGAACATCTAAAAGAGTCGAATATTGAAGGGCCAGTGCCAATGAAATGCACTGATGTATCGACTAACCAAAAGCAAGTTAATAGACTTGATGATAAACGTGAAGAAGAATTTCAGTCAGAGCAACAAGAAAACGCAGCAACGCGTGAACTTGAATTTAGGTCCACTGAGGAAAATGTACAAAAAAAATCGAGAGAAGAAATTAAACAAGATTTGAAGTCAGAAAGCGAAGATGTCAAGCAACCGAAACAAAAGTGTCTCGCAAAGGGGCAAAAATCAGATAAAAGGCGAAGGAATTCAAAGGAAGTTCTTAATGATAGTTCTGAAAATACAACAGCAAATAAATTGGTAGAGGAATTGCCAAACGTACAAACTGCTCATGAAAAAGTAGAACTTATGTCAGCGTCACCACAACGCTTGAAAGAAGAAGAACAACCTCACACCAGCGCTCCCGCGAACCCGCGGACCGATTGTTTTGATTTTCAAGAGGAAGAAGATGAAACTAGCAGCGACGCACTAAAATCTATAGCCGATTTCAAAAAGAAATATTTGTCTCCGGAGAAAGGACAAGACAAACCTCAGACTGATAGTTACATATTGCCCGAAAGCGAACGACAACTTTCAACTGAGCAGAGGGATCAACAGTTGTCGGATGATATCGAAAAATTGCTTGAACAAACAACAGCACCCAAAATTTCGGAAGAGGCGTCTCTTGGGGACATTTCGCCAACACAGTCTTTCTGCAGTAGCAAGGAGGAGTTGCCAGTTAAAGGTTTACCGATTAAAGAACGAGGCAAACGTATATTCAAATCTCGTAATCGTTCAAGGATTGAAGAGCTGCCTACATCAACAGCAGACAGTTCGGAAATTGTTCTATCAGGGCAAGCAATCGATGCTGCCGGGACAAAAATGGATGAAAATGGAACAGTGACAGTTACTGAGCAAATCCAACTCGAGGAAAAAAATATGTTTAGTGAGAAAGTTGAACCGAACACAAAAGCAAATCAACAAAAACAATATGCTCCTATAGATGACGTCGATGAGTATGAAAATGAAAAGCAATCTTTGACATTTACAGCCCCTGCTTTAGAAATGAATGCTGTAAAAACGAATGATTTTCAAGTAATGGAACAAGATAAAGAGAATGAAGGAAATATCGAAATCGTGCGGCTCGATTCCGTCGAGGAAACAACTGTATTAAAAGTAAAAAATTTAAAAAATGGTTCATTGGCTACTTCTACTACGACGATGGAGGTCTTACATTGTGCAAGCTTGGAACAAAAGAAATCCGCTATTCTAGAAACTAATGAAACACTTTTATGTCTAACAGATACAGAGATTTGCAATCATGATGATTTACAATTCTCAAAGCAAAATATTGAAAACACAGAACGAAAAAACGGATGTGAAACCGAAAATTTAGAGCCAATTATGGAGGACAATGTTAAAGAAACTGAACATTTTCCACCACATGAGAATATTTCAGATGAACTGAAGACACTAAAAGATCATTACAGTACTGCCGACAATACCGCAGATTTGGAGGATATTCAAGAAATTTGCGATATACCCACGAGTGAGGACAGAACTACTATCGGGGAAGAAAGTTCGCAAGAGAAGTTTAAATCTAATGCTACATCCGAAAGGAAAATGATAAATGAAGATAAGAGTAATGATTTAAATATTCTACTACCCACAACGACATTGTCTAATATACATAGTGAAATAAATTTGATGGATGCATGTACGGTTGAAAACAAAGAACAATCTGAAGTCACGGACATAAAGCACCAGTTAAATAATGATGATAAAGCGTTGGAACAAGAAACGGAGAATTCTTTGGCTGTAAATATAAAGAATAATATAGTGGAGGAACAACAACATGACGTCATGTTGTTAGGTGAAGAAGTGCTACAAAGCCGTCTCACTTCGCCAACTGATGACAACAGTTCAATTTGCATTTCTGAAACGGGTGCAGAGTTTGGATCGCCCACCTCAATGTTAGACGATGAGCGTTTGCCTACTTTGACTGACAGGCTGATGACACCCACCGAAGGGTTGGTAGAGACAACACCTTCACAAGACGAAGATGCAAAAACACTATTGGAACAAGAAATAAATATTGTAGGAGGAGATGAAGTAAACGATATGCAAAACCAAAACAAAAATATAGAATCAATAGACGAAGTGCTTGTACCCTTGGTTGAGAGCAGAGAAGATTCAATAACTAAAAACCAGAAAATATTAGGAGATGTAATGCAAGAGATAACACGTGAAAGTGAAATGAATGACAATGAAACGCATACACATGTTGTGGAAGAATGCGATGGAAATGCTAAAGATGAAAACTCTGGACTCGTAGAAACAAGCTTACAAAAAAAGAACATGGAATCTGTATTGAAAGAAGATGAGATTTCAAGAGAGGAAAAGGAGCAGGAAAAGGATGGCAATGAGCAGGCTACAAGCGATGTAAATAACTGTCTTATTGAACATGTGGAAATTCCCGAAAACAATAAAAATGATGAGTCAAATATATTAGAATATAATAATAGTGTAGTTGATACACCGCGTACTGAAACCGATGAAACTCATATAAATTTTGAGGAAACTGAAACGCCTGAAATACAAAACCAAACAGAAATTGTTGTAGTGGCGCGTGAAGTAACAGATGAGGCACAGCAGAAAGAATCTGAAAAAGAAAAAGATACAGAAGATATTGTAAATAATGTTATTGAAGAACAAAATGAAGATAACGAAAATCCATCTAAGGAGGAAGACAACATTGTCGAAAATAAATTAACTGAAGATCAGTTGCAGATTGAAAACGGGGGAAATCAAGAAGACAACAAAACACTAAGCACAGATGTTTTAAATAATGAAGTGTCTAATGAAGAATCAGCTAAAGTCATTGAGCACGCACAGCATGAGGAATCCGATGCAGATGACGATTTCATCGAGAGTCCACCTCATGAACCCCTTTCCGGACATGAAGGGGAAGGTGATACAGAAACATTTGCGACAAAACCAAAATTATTAAATAAAACACATAAGTGGCGTGCAACATCGAATTCATCGAGCAACTCACCAAACTCATTTTCTGAATTTACCAAAGATACAACCAGTAGAAAACGACATACCCGAACGTTGAAACAACAAAAAGAAAAATCGAATGATTTTATGAAAGAGCTAGATTTAACAGATTTAAATGACAAAGATAATACGACGATATGTCAAAACCAACGAAAATCAACGAAAGTTGAAAAACGAGCGCAAAAAGAAACAGATACAAAAAATGATGACGTCGTTGTTGAAGCCAAAGCAGAAAAACAAGATACTGTCGCCGATCAAATTGGAGTTAATCACCTGAATATAACAACTCAACAACCACACAATGAAAATTCTGATCCCACATTGGTCGTTTTGCCCACCGATACATATGCTAATCCACAACCAGACGAGCAGGTTAATGAATTACCGACTGGCCAAGCTCCCATAAATCGGTTGCCTGGAGTAAAATCTGAATTTTCTCGCAAGCGACGTAGCGCAACAAAACCAACTCCTCGGCGTAATGCGGTTGCGGCAAAAAACTACGTAATGGAAGAGAACGATGTAAATAACGAAGAAGAGGACATACAGCATCTGAAGAGTCGAAAATTGGAGAGCCCAAATATCACCAATACAAGTATTGAAACTATGGAAGTAACCGAGGAGATAAAAACTACGCCAAATGAGATAAGAAACTACGAAGATGAAAATAAGAGTAATTATATGAAGGAATTGGAGGGATCAGAAGAAACCGTCGAATTTAATGCTAATGAACCAGCAGACTCTCTTATAATAGAGGATGACCAGTGCATAATTGAAGAAGTATACCTAAATGATACAGTGTCAGTGCAACAAATAGCTATAGAGGAATTGCCAGATAATAGTACCACAAAAGATGAGAACACTTCGGAAACAACAGTCTCTGAGTTAAATTCGTTTCATCCTATTGATGTACCCAACGCAGTGGAGTATGTGAATTACTCTTCAATTGAAAATCAACAACCGATCGAAGAGGTAATAGTAGGAGCTACCAACCAAGTGGAGACAGCCACGGACATTGACTCACTGCGAAATACAGACGAGGGCTCAAATATTGCAAATGAGACCTCGAATAAGCGGCTGGTGCCTGCCATTAATCCACATCCTAAAGCAGATAACACATGGTGAGTGTATATGTATAAATACTTATGTAATAAAAAATGTCATATATAAGTATAAGCACATCAACTAAAAATCGTTTATGAACACTGATTTTTATTTTATTACTCCTTTGCAATAACTTTAATATACAACATTTTAAACATTGTCCTTGTTAATTTTCTTACAGTGTCAACATTTCTCCTATGGAGAAGGTTCGGATCAACGTAGATGTCGCCAATCCACTTTCGACACAAATAGCAAATATTTTAGCCACAAAATCTGCAACTGGTGCAACATTAACGGCAACAAAGCAAAGGAAGTCCAATCTTGAAGAATCTATACCATCATTTATAATCGAGCGACCAGGACAGGGGGTGGGTACACATCAACATCAACAAAAACAACATGCATCATCTTCCGGTTTAGAGTTTATTGGCGAGCAAGATGCTGTTGCACACGTTCAGCAAATGTGCCCCCAGGTTAAAATCACCCGAAAAGAAAAATTGATTGAAGTAGCGTCAACAGCTACCGTGATAGAACAGGAACAAGCTGGAGCACCTTCCAATGCTATGTTCGACATCAGCAATATGCCTATAGTGCTTGGTAATGAACATTTTATGTCAGCACAGGGTGATATGCAAATTGTATTGACGTCATCCGCAGAAACAGAAGAGCATTTAGGTTCAGACGGCCCACAGATTTTACAACAACAAATTATTCAACCTGCATACAGAACGACACAGCAAGTTTCTCAGCAACGGCAACGCAAACGATCCACAAGTCAACAGCCGCAACAAGCGAGCACCGTGGGAGGTAATAAACACGGTATAATTATAATTAAGGCGGCGCCGAGTGATTTGATAATACAACAGACACCTTCAGTTCAAGTGACCCAATCGCAATCGCAGTCGGTTCCCGGTGGTGTCACACAACAATTCTCAACATCATCCACCGACACAATGACCACATATAATCTCGGTTCCGGTGTCACTTTGCGTCCAATAGCTGAACCGAAACAAAAACAACAGCAACGCCAACAACAGCAACTTCAGCAGAAGCAGCAACAGACTGGTAACAAGACAAAACCTGCGGCGTCCTCATCAACCGGTGGCCGCAAACACGCTGGCAATACAATAACATTGCCAAGCACTATTACGGTGAAGCATCGTCAACAAAAAATTGCAGAGGATCAAACAAATGCAGTAGGCAGCGCAGTAGCAGTTAATGAACAACAATCGCAACTAACTCCTTCGGCAAATGTTAAAGGTCAAAAGCGTAATCATCCAACGAACTCAAGACGCTCACAAACTCAGTCGCAGATAGTTCAGCAGCGTCGATTAACTGCTACGGCGAGCAATTTGGGGGAACTTCAGCAAAAAGATCAACAACTATCTACTAGTGACGACTGTGCGTCGCTAAATAGACGATTAAGTCACTCGGAAGGACATGCGCCACCACCCGCAAAAATATCCCGAAGCACCGCTACTGGCTCATCTACTTTCGACAACCACAACGAGCCAACATTTGCTGCAACGGCGGAACAACAACTTTTACAACTGCAGCAGCAACAATTACAACAACATGCAGTACAATCTCCGACGACGACGGAGCCACCGCCGCTACATCCGCTGCACAATCGCAAACAACGTCATTCATCGCAACACAATCGACGATTGAGCACAAAAGCCGAGCTGTCAGCACAAATGTGCTTGCAAGAACAAGCCCAGCAGCAGCAGCAACAACGATTACAGTCAACACAGATGGTATTGTTGGATCAACAGCAGCAACAGGGTTTTGAAGAGCAACAACAAGAGCAGCACATGACTGCAGTTCATATAGCAGAGTTAGCGTCGGAATCGCCGTCAGCTGAAATTATTCCAGCGGAATTTGAAGCGATACAAATGCAAGATCAAGTGCCTGAGGTCTACACCGAAGAAATTTTAGCTGAAGAATTTGAAGCGAATGAGGTAAGTGAAGAATTAAGATGTGCTTTACATTGTATTTGCATGTTTTTTTACAATAATTAAGTTACATATGCAGATATTGTAATATATTTCTTAAATCATTTGCAGCATACACCATCAGTAATAGCCGTGCCGGCACAGTCAGTACCAGGCTACCCCGACACGCTATTATTATGTCGAAAAGTAGGTGAGGAGTGGGTCCCTATAGTAGCTCAGCCTTACTACTATACACGCTGTGACCAACAATTAAGGCCCATACCAAAGGAAGTACTTATCGGACACCCGATATTGACGCCGAATGCAGATAAAACACCAGATTTTCATACCGCCGAAGTAGAAACGGAAGATGTACAGACGACGCCTGCTAATGAAGCGTACAAAGGAGAGACAGGAGTTACCATTTTAATTGGCTCTGAATTAGTACATATGGAATGGGATCAGTTTTTGGAGGTTATGCGTTCAACTGATGATTTGTTTGATTTGCGCGATCACCTTGGACGCGTATTCCAGCTGACGCGGGATGCATTAGATACCCTACAACAGGATGTTAATTTGCAAGAAAAATTTCGGCAACTACAGCAGTTGTTGGAAGAACAACAATTAGAAGAACAGCAGCAACTTGAGCAACAAGAGATATTGCAACAACAATTCATACAGCAGTTGCAAACAGTTACAGTTGCTGGAGATGAAGGATTAGAAGCTGATATCATACCATTGTTACAAATAGACACATCGCAAACGTTACAGCTAATAGGAACGGATGACGGCAGTCTTATACTACAATCAGCTCTGACGCAACCACCACTTTCTCCACCATGCACGCGCCCTGCACTAACAAATGCGACAAATGCGCTGCTAAACCAAACGCCCATCATGTCACCGCTGGAAAAGCCATCTACAGCTGCTAATACCGCTTTGATAGCCGAAAATTCGGGACAAAACATTGACCTGTCCTCAGCAACAACAGTCGACCATCTTGGAGCAGGTGGTTTTATTGCGTCGGATTCAGGGAGTGGCATGCCAAGTTTGGGTGATAGTCTGGCTGTTATAGGAGTTGTGCCTACACAACCTACACTGCTGCCCACCACCGTAACCAATCCAGCGATTGCGCCACCAAAGTCTGATTTAATACCGAACATGACAACGGCAGCCCAAATGCACGCACAATACCGGCATGCGCAGCGTGCAATATACAATGATCCTGGGAGTTAATATTGCCCAAATATGCTCTATTTAGACAATGGGAACAATGGTCTATTAGGGGATGTGCGAAGGTCGGGGAATGCTGCAGTCCAAGTGGGCGTTGGTACTACTGTGGAACGTGCGGGCGCTGTTGACATGGGGGTGGATGAAGTGAATGAAATGAATGATGTGAATTTGGATACAAATGTGGTAGGTTTTAACGAACATTATTTTTTCAATTAGAGTTCCATCACACACTTACCAAACACCATTTAATGCAAACATTTCCCATGTGTTTCTAACAAATCTTTTATATAGTAATTGCTATTTAGTGTGAAATTTAGTTGTAAAATAGAGTTACATTAACATTATTATCAGTGTATGAGTGTATATTGTAAAAAGCTGTAAATTCGCTTTACTTTTATTTTTATAAAATTATAAATTTAGTTTGCTATAGTTAATACGAGTATTACATTGTTTGTGTAAGTTGGCATTGAGGTAAATCAAGATACTTTATATCAATTCGTGCCAGTGTCGTACACATTCTCTCAAATTTCGCTTTCAACTCTCTACTGCCTGTTGACGATAACTTGTTTCCCAAGGTACAATAACTTACGCATATGTTGCTCCACTGAGCTGCTCTGTAATGTGGATCTGGAAAATAAATGTGTTGCGATAGACAATCGTCCTTGTGGTACTAACGACGAATTTGTTCGAATGCGTATGATTTTGCAACACATTACACAGCAATTCCTTGTTTTCATTTCGTAAGTTATTTTTAACCAAATCCCATTATTTACAGCACTAAATGTACTCGAATAGGTTTGTAAGAACATGTGTTTACATATGTCAGCAAATAAAAATTAAGAGAAATGAGAAAAATCTGAATTTTGTACTGCTACAGAATTCGTTTCTAATTATTGCAATTTTTAAATTTATAAGCTTCTACTGTATTCATAAGTAATTATAATTACGTKACACACCCCAAATAGTTTTCTTAATTTGTGTAACTAATTATAATAATAATATGTATTATTTAAAGTTTGTTATATTAAAAACTTAACACATTTTCCGAACTCAAAAGATTATGAACACAATAAAAAATGCTGTTACACAAAAAATCATATTTTTTTTAATCAAGCTTGTATTGTAAACATATTTACATCTCTTATTTCATAGTTTACGTTTTCCTAATGAATAAAGGTTTCGTAATTTAGAGCATTTGAAATCCGACACCATTCAATTTGTAGTTGTCCATCAAATCTTTTTAAGTTTTTTTTGTTTAGAAGCATTCACATTATCACGGCAACTGGGAAGTATTAGCTTGGATTGCTGTCCCCACAGAATTTAGTAATGTCTGTTTAATCGACATGACTTGTTATAAGTGAATACATGTTTTGTTGTTTTGTATGCAATTAACTTTGTTGAGAGTCATTTAAAAGGAAAGGTAATTGCGCTACAGATTGATTATATTTGGAACATTTCCTCAAACTAATCACGCACAACTTATCATCCAACGACCCATCGCTGGTGCTTACAATTATGTTTGTCAAGTGACAGAGGTGGATTTAATATAATGTAAACTTATTAAACTTTTGTTCCACCCGAGGTGGAGTAGTCCATGGAACGCATTGGTTGGGTCGCCAAAATAACATTTCTTTCCTGGATATAGTAAAGGTATAGTATTGTAAAATACTACGATTCGGTTCATTTTATACTCATTGCAGTTTTGTGGTTCATATCAATTTATATGTATTTAACACATTTCAATTAATATTAATTTTTCAATACCTAATTCGATTCCTCGTTGGCATCGCCCAATGTAGTGCGATAAAGAAGTAAATTCTGAAAAGTTAGCAGACTTTGATTGTTTAATACAAATAATGTAATATTGATTTCTCTTTAATACTAGTTTTTATAAATATCGCTTTCAAACCATAGATATCTTCCAGTAATTTGCAATTTATATTTGAATTAAATTTTTTAATACCTAGAAAAGTTAGATCTTTACCGTTAATAGTTCTAAACTTAATCTTTGTAAGGACATATCTGTGTTAAATTCTCAAAAAATAAGGATACTTTTATATGTATAACCTTACATGTAAGTATATACAGTTTTGTTCATGAAAATAGAGTGAGGGTATAGTAATCTAAAGGATTGTACTAGGGGTTTGATTTTGAAAATAATTGTAACAAATATTTGTAAATGGAAAAATTAATAATAATTCAAAATCTAAACCGAAATGTTTGGCTTCGAGACTTATTTACAGAGAAGGTGAAAGGTAATCTGTAATCTGGTCTGCTGCTACAAGTTCATTTCTCCATTAAATTTCCTGGGTAAAATTGGTTCTCCTTTCCCTTGAACCTTTTGAAGATTAAATGTTTTTTCCACCAGCACCATTGTTTTGTGTAATGCTTCAAGCGATTGTTGAGACTTAATATTTTTCTCTTTCCTCCACAATTCTTTGCATTGAATTTTTTTAGCAGTCAAAAATGGAAAAAAACCAATAGAGAGTTGCAATAAGTAAGTGTCCACCTCAGAGGCACTTACTTATTACAACTCTCTACAGGTTTTTTTTGATTTATCGATTATTAACTACAATCACTACTATATTAATAGCTTCTTTTCAAAAAATAGGAAAGTACATACGTCAGAAAAAATATAAACGAAGCATAAGTGATATAATTTTTTCGTTTTTATTATTTAAGGGGTCTATTTTACCAAAATTCTCGAGTTTATTTGACGGTTTATGTTAGAAAAGATCTTTAAATATAAGAACTGTTGCACCACTATTTTCAGGAACACAACTGTACATGTCGCTATATTACGTTGYGTTTTGTTCAACAATTTAATCTCCTTTTTCACATAACTAACAAAAGTAAATTTATTCTAAACTTTTTTCTATTTATATATTATATATTTTTATTTCTTTTTATACATTTTATCTTCTCGCTTCTTTTCACACTCATACACCAGCAGCTTTATATACATTCGTAGCCTCTCTTAGCTGAGCATATCGGTGATCTACAGAAAACAAGGTTTTCTCATACAAAACCAGTTTAAACAACAAGGACACACTTGTAGTTCTTCTTTAATAAATAATTGTATTTTTACTGCATATACATATACATTTGTATAAAATAAACCTATATATTTTTTAAGATTTGCTATTTTATTTAATGTTGCAATTCTCTAAATTATTAGAAATTAGAACTTTGAAAAAGTTTTTCACTCACAAAAAATAAAATAATATCAAAACCGGATTGAAGTTAAATTTAACGGAGTTGATGCCCCAAAACCAAAATAAAATCTAAAGCAAATAAAAATGTTATATCGAATACCTTATAATTATTGTAAAATTATAACTAAAAGGTATTGCTAATATTTTAACTTAATGTAATTAGCTTTTAAGTACAATATAAAATCAACTACTCTCTTATGTTTATGTACAAAGGATGGAAACTTATGATTCGTTAATAGTAAAATTAATAAATACAAACATACTTATATAATGTGTATTAGTTTGATTAAGAATAAAGTAAAATACTGAACAGCAACTAAACACACACAACGAAAATCCAATTGTGTAAAGAACCATAAATTGTATGTACAATGTGACAAAAAAGTTTTAATTGCCTGCATTCGTTGTGCTTAATTTTTTTCAACAAGCATTCGTACAAATGCAAATAAATTGCAATGGCGCTATTAACGCTGCCATTTATAAGGGGCAGTAGCAAGCAAAAAAGTAATAAGGAAAGTGTTTGTTGTATGTGTAAAATTATGTAGTTTAAACTAAGGTAATATTTAAAGAAAATTATATATTAAAAATACATATATAAATAAATGTATAACCCTCGACATACAAACATATAATAAAACGATTATACTAAAATTATTGAATATTTATTTTATACTTATGTATGTGTAAATATGAATTTCAATTGATAATTATAATAAATTAGCCGTAATTTACGTGTTTGCTTCACTGGGTGTGTAAGTAAAGAACACATTTAAAATCATCACATTTATGTACTATATATATGTACATACATATGTATAGTATGTACATACTATATATATATACAAATTACATGTCACGTTTTCTCTGGCGTTATCTCCTAAACTACTTAACCGATTTTAGTAAAATTTAGCACACAGTGCCCAATTTGATTCAACTTTTTATATCTGAATTATATTAAAAGTAAAACAATTCACAAATAAAAATCATATTTCGAAGCATAAGCATGTTTTCAAAATTAAAAAAAAAAAATCTGTAAAATGCAAAATAGAAAATTAATTATGTTTTCCATTGACAAATATTTATAAGATTCATTTTCAAAATTAAACTTCATGTACAATCCCTTCGATTCTTTTGCCAGCAATTACGTTTTTGCCTTTATTCGTAAATAATATTTCCAGTGTATTAAATAGTTTATAGAAGTTATGGTATTTAATGATGTATGTATATCATAGCCATAGCATTGCATGATTTAATCTTCTATAAGATATATTATTAGTGATTGTTGCTAATAAACAAGGTGATATTTTTTCTTGGACGCACTATGTGGAACCGGTAAGACTTCGAGTTCAATCCTTTGGGTTCTCAATATTGTAATAAAATTGAATGTATACCCAGAGCCGTAGAGAGTAATCCGGGGGGATTATGGTTCCCTGATCCATCCTTTTGTTATTGTATATTAACTTACAAAAAAAAAAACAGAACAAAATTTTATTCAAAATAGTCTCCTTCTGCTTCAGTACAGCTTTTTGCACGTCCAAAAGCATGTCGAACGAGTGGTTTGGCTCATTGGCCGGCATGTCCGCATAACGCTTTCCTTTCATTGGCAAAAAAAAAAAAATCCGAAAAGGAAAACGCCCACAAAACCATTAAACGAAATAAAGTGCCACAGCTTAGCTCCCAAGTAAGATATAAAACTGTAGTTTGCCACCGGGGGTCACAGTAGCAAGGGGACTTGTGGGCAAATTTTTTTTTTAAAAATGGGGTGTAGCTCCGCCATCTAATAGGTTTATTGTACATATCTCCTAAACCACTAAAGATAAAACATTAAAATTAGCTTAGAGCAAATGTGGCACCCCCCTTTATGTGGAATCCTATGTTACAGACTACAAATTAGTTAAATCGGACTACAACCACGTCTACTTCCTATATAACAATTTAAAAATTCATTCGTTTCTTTCACTTTCCAATATACAAATCAATAAGCAATTAATAAATAAAATAAAACTTTGCATGAATAATGCCTATGAAGTATGGCACCTTATAACCAAACGTTGTTCAAATGGAACCAAAACTGTCCAATCCCTAGGTACGAATATGTGGATCCCAGTGCCTATAATTGACTTTTTACAGAAAATATCTGTGAGTGTGTTTCCTGATAATAGTAAATTAAAAGGGGTAGAATCTGGTAAATACTTCCTTTAGCCCAAATATACCTCATTTGCAGATTTTCGCACTTCTGGGTGGTTTTATACCGAATTTATCGGCCAATATGTGAGTTATTTTAATAAAATTGAGTGAGCTTGTTTTTCCAGAAGCAATGTACATATGTAAGTGCTGAGAATGAATACAATTTAGTCAAAACGTGCTCTACACTCCATATAACTAGCTTTATGTAGCATACCTGAAGGTACTACAACGGCTTTAACCCTTGTAAGTTCCAAGAGTATGAAATGTTCGGTTATGTCCGAACTTAGCCCTTCCTCACTTGTTTCTTGTTAATTTTAACTATAAAAATACAATTAAATAAACACACAAGTGGTTATTTCTGTTTACATTTTTATTAACTGTTTATTGAGTTGTCTTAACATGCAAAACCTTTTAGCATTCGCAATGACTTTTGGTGGTTTAGTCAGACATTTTTTCTAATAGTTTATTGTTCTGGCAAAAAAATATAACATGGTATCCTTACTGCTTTCAAATGAGAATTAGGTTTTGCCTATATTCTAATCATCAAATACAATTGACTATCGACAAAAGGTGAATAAATTAATATATATGATTTGAATGTGCTAAGTAATGACAAATAAATCATTATCAGAGTATATTAACAATTTTAATAACTCTGGGCGATAATAAAACATAAAATTAAATCCAATATCTTTAAATAAATATTGTCTAATAAACGTAATATAAATACTAAATACCTGATGGCAAATTTGAGCACAAAGAAAAAATAAAACTTTAAATGAATACTTCTATAGTAAGTCGACTAACGATCTAACAAGTGAATTGTACATGAATAGCAAGTGTATTTTAAGGTTTGTTTGTTGTTATTTAGTATTGGGCTCAACAAATATGTAACGTTTTGAAATTATACAGTATAATATAGGGGTGAATAAATTTTCTATTCGAACGTACAATACTTTTCTTTTAAGCAATTTGTTTTTACATACTTATTTAGTGAATTTTTTAATCAATTTAGACTATTGTTGGGTAAAGCAGCAGTGGGTATCATTTAGTGTTCCAATCAGAAATTGGCGTATATACACGACACGATGAAGAATAGTGTATATAGCGAATAGTTGTATTCATTCACTTCACAGTTTAGCACAAATTTCATTTGTAAACTCTGAGCATTTGGCCTTGCCACCCAAGTCTCCAGTCAAATGTTTGCCCTCCTTGAGCACCTCGAAACAGGCATGTTGGATCTTATCAGCATGCTCATTCAACTCCATGTGTCTTAACATCATAACAGCCGACAGCAATAAAGCAGTTGGGTTGGCCAAATCCTTGCCAGCAATATCAGGCGCAGTACCGTGAACCTGAGTGAAAAAATATTCAATAAAAGAATATTGATCGAGTTTTTAGTAAATAAATACATACAGATTCGAATAGTGCACCATTCAAACCCATGTTGCCAGATGGGGTTAGGCCCAATCCACCAACGAGACCAGCGCACATATCAGAAAGAATATCACCATACAAGTTGGGCATTACCTGTAATTTAAATTTACGTTAAATATTTCGTAACAAAGTGTGTTAATATCACGGAGTTAATACTGCTCATATAGTATATATACCAAGACATCATATTTTTTGGGATCCTGCACCATGTTCAAACACACAGTGTCCAAGTAACGTTCTTCGAACTGAATTTCCGGGTATTTTTCGGCCATATCACGCGCGCAACGCAAGAACAAACCATCAGACATGCGCCTATATTTGTTTACAATCATTCATAAGTGATATATAGAATTTTTTTTTTATTCTGCTTACATAATATTAGCTTTGTGCACTACGGTCACCTTCTTCCTGTTATTGGCCTTGGCGTATTGGAAGGCATATTCGGCGACTCGCTGTGACGCCTCCTCAGTGATCAGTTTTATACTCTGTACAACACCATCAACAATTTCGTGCTCAATGCCGGAGTATTCACCTTCGGTGTTTTCACGGATTGTCACCACATCGACATCGTCGTAAAGGGTTTTGTAGCCTTCCAGACTGCGACAGGGCCGCACATTAGCGTACAAATTGAATTCCTTACGTAAGGCCAAATTTAATGAGCGATGACCTTTGCCAACTGGGGTCATCAAGGGACCTTTCAAGCCAATTTTATTTGTATTCACCGAATCAATAGCTGCCTGAGGAATGCCGTATTTGCCATCGGGGCCCTGTATGATATAAAATATATATGCATATTTAGGATTTATCTAATCAAATAAGCTGCTTTAAGATTATCTTGTTAAAAAATACATATAACTACACAGTATATTTTCATCGTAAATAAGTATCTCAGTTTATGTAATCTATTTCTTTGTCCTAAATATTTAAATAAAATGAATAAATACTTGTTTAATTCATTTTCAAAATAGTAGAGTTTCTTTATGTGAAAATAAATATTCAGCTAATATAATATATTCACCTCTAGACAGTGTTTTATAATTTTTTTATAGTGTATTTATAAAGCCCTCTAACCTTTGCTTTGCATTGCCATCACCTTCTATAAAAAATCTGTGACCGAGTTAGCTTAAGAAACCTTTGTATTTCAGAAGTAGTTATACTATGCCTTGGTGGTGAGCACAATTTTTATCCCGGCAAGTGATACAAGATTTAAGGGGTAGGCAGAGGCACGAAAATTTAAAAAAAAAAATGTTTATTTTCAAAGTTCCCAAAAAAAAAAGATACTTGCGGTGACAAGTCTTTGGAGAGTCATCTAAAATCAATCGGACAAAAAAATAGTTTCATTATATAAATAGTTTTGAGAAAAGCGCTTTAAAGTTTGCCTTTTTGTTTTGAAGTGCCTGAATTCTCTTTGTTCTTTGTCGAATAACTCAAAAACTAATTCTCGGATCAACGTGAAACTTTGAGAGAATGTTTTTAAGATACTACACTTACCGAAAATGTAAAAAAACAATTTTTTTTTTTGAAAATTGTAACTACCCCTAACCCCTTAATTAAAATACCATAGACASACCTGAACCCAGGTACTTTGATGATTAGAAATGATTGTCAAAATTTTGTATTTGTAAAAAATACATATTTGCGAAATGTGTTTTTTACACTAACATTATGACAATAAAATTCTCATTTTTAAAAATTTCAGCTTCTTGAGTCTACGGGATAATCTTAAGCTAACTTGCATCGCCTTTTAATAAGTAGAGAGATCATGTTATGAGGTAATTTGCTAGTAAGGAATCATTAGAATAATTTTGCCTGGCATAGATAGATAGATAGATAGATAAAATAATTGGGGAATGCACCGCAACCTTAGGTCTATTGTGCCCTCTCCTGGCTTACAGGGACTCACTTAGCCCCAGCATATTGATGAAGTCCAATATCCCGCTGGGTGCTAACGAGGCGATGTGATCCCTTTCCAGATACATGGATCGAAGGGCCTTGGCCTGCGCCTACAAACTGCAACGTAGTCGATTAGCAGGTGCTCCGGGGTTTCAGGCTCCCTGTCGCAAAACCGACAGTTGGCGCAAGATGATAGGCCCATGTTAAATAAATGCCTTTTCAACCTGCAGTGGCCGGTGTAAAATGCGATCAGAAGTTTAAGTTTGTCCCTTGGAAAGTTTATTATCAATTTGAACCTCTTCTGGTTATACCCCCCCAACTAGCAGCTTGGCGTGTCGCATACCCCTTAGCAGTTGCTAAAGAGTGGGGTCGCTCCATTCACTCTTGCTACCGAGGGTAACCTTAAACCACCGAAGCCTGCGACGCTACGGAGGCCCAGGACACCGCCCCGTATGTAATTATCGGTCGCCTGGCATTGTTATTTGGCTCATAATGTTAGCATAAGTTAATTTACTCATTACCTAAGCTAGGAAAGTTTTGGTGGTATATATTTTTTTCTTCTCTATAATGTTTACTAATTAACTAATTACTTCCTCTAATATACATATGTATATTAAACGCGATAATACACTTGATGATAAAGCACAGCAGTTAAAAAAAATTTAATTCCGTCGAACTCTAATACCGTATGTACAAATTTGTTTATTTGCTTCAAAAAAAAAAATATATATATGTATATAATAAATAAATAAAAACTATTATAATTAAAACGCCAAGATCTTTATGATGACCTGGTAAAGTCAGACAGTGTTATCACAAAATAATGCACTTAAATGTTAATGATTGCAAAAATTTCCGCCTACATTTGTACATTCACTATACCAACAACACATAGAAAAAATATTATTGGAAAAAATAATAAAATAAGACCCATAAAATAATAAATACATGATTTTTATCACCTTATAAATCAAAATAATAACAGTTTAATGAATATCGTATTCGCATTCCAGCGATTTATTCGTACCTCTTGTATAAACAAATGTTTCGCTTTAACGCATACACCGTAAAAAGGTGTCGTATAAAGTATAATTGAAAACTTTCAAATATACTGACAATTTTGAACGATTTAGAAATTAAAGTATTTGTGTATATTTTTGATTGAGTATGAGTTTAAAAATGGAATAAACGATGATCAAATCAGAAGTAATAACGAAAACATTTTATCAGATAAAATTCGAAATCTATAAAAAAGTGAAGCTGTATTGTTGATATACCTAGACCTTACTCATATACATACAGTTGTGTTCAAAATAATAGGAGTCTATCACAATATAAAATATAGAGTTATGTTTTTCAACTAAAAAGAAATTTTAATTATTTATTTTTTATCCACGTATTGTTCATTTTATACAGTCTTTTTACGCAGGTTTAAATTTTTAGTAATACACAGTAAATGAAAAAAATAAAGTATTTAAATAAAAACCTAAATAAATCGGTATTCAAAATAATAGGAGTGCATCACAAACTTCAATAAATCTAATAATAAATTAAAAACTTGCAATTTATGACTAGTATATAACTTAGTTTAGTTAATATTTAGTCGATCAACCTCCATTTTTAATTACTGCAGGACATCTGCGGGACATGGGATCGATCAAAAAATTCGTCACCTTTTCAGCGAGATTTGCTGGCAAATCTAGTGGACTGTGCTCCATGGTTCCCTTGTATTTGATGGTCTACGATCAGCAACACCTTTTTTAATATCTGCCTATAAGTTTTCTATGGATTTAAGGTCAAGCGACTCAGCATACCACGACATAACCTCAACGTTATTGACCCGAAGCTATTCCTTTGCAGATTTACTTGTTGCTGAAACAACCACTTTAATGGCATATTCCATTTCGTGTATGGCAGCACAACTTTTTTCAATATATCCACATACACCTACTGATCCATGGTTTTTTTTATCAGATGGATTGGTGCCACCACGTTGTACGAGAAACTTTCCTACACTACTATGCACTACCATGTTTGAGTGTATTGCGGACTATATTCCGTATTTGGTGGACAATGGATATACTGCCTAAACTCTGTGCCACCAAATAAAACTATCTTACACTTCTCTGTCCACAAAATATTTCCCCATTTCTCCAGTTGCCATGTTCCTTGGCGAATTGGAGCCGTGCTCCAATTATGGTTCTTTGTCAACAATACTTTTCCCTGATTCCGCGCAAATAAATTATATTCCAATAAACGTCTACGAACTGTTACGTCATTAAAATGAAGATCTAGCCTCTTTTTATTTCTCTAGACGACGCCTTAGGATCTTTTTTAGACGACTGGAGTGTGCGTCGATCGATTACTTCAGTAGTTCTGCGTTTTCGGTTTCGGCTTTATTAATTAAAATAAATGACTTATCCTTTAAAAAAATCCCATCTTTTTTTTTTTGCACTTATTTTTAAGTTTTTACAGATTTTGTTTAAATTAAAATCTAATATACCACTTAGTAGCTCACGCTCCTATTTTTATGAACAGAGCAATTCAGTCACCGAAATAGATTTGAACTCATAACATTGCAAATACTGTAAACAGCTGAAGTTTATGCTTTGTGTTTTACTCGCGGGATACCTTTAGAAATATTTCATGAAAAGTGGTTGACGTTCGTTGTCTGACATGATAAATTTTTGGGGTTAAATATTTTTCTCAGGAGCTCTCCTATTATTTTGAACACAGCTGTATACTTACACTAAGAACTTGTTAATTAAAGCATATTATGTTGCATATTTTCAAATTGTTTTTGCAGTATATAATAAGTTTTAGAATAAAATTGTCCAATTCCGCTTTAGCTTTACCATTTGTGAAGATAAATTATATAATCTAACGTAGATAATCCCTTTTCATTTATTACATTTTTTAAAAGCTTATAAATATACTTACCATAACTGGTGTCACATCCACCGATTCCCATTCAATTGGTACATTGGCAGTGGTGAAAATCTTCTGCACAGCAGCGGAGATTTCAGGGCCAATGCCATCACCAGGAATTAAAGTGACTTTTCTGGAACCAGATGCAAAGCCGCGAGCTGATGTGGGGGCAGTGCTAACCTGAAAATTCAAAATAATCACTATGTGTTTAATACTCTCTTTTTAACGCTTTGTACTTGATAAATATTTGTGAGTAAATATTTACACCAATTAAATATTTAAATGTCAAAATTAAGCATGCTGTTTCATAGTAAACAAACGCCTAATTACGTTCTTATCAATCAAAGTTGACCGCATACTATCATATTTGCATACGCGCGTTTGTTACATAAGTTGCCATCGACAGTTTGTCGTATTTTTTCTTGTCTATATGCTTTTCGCCTTTCTGTGTCCACCGAATTGCAACGTTCTTAAAGCTGGCTAGTGGGGCCGAATTGCTTCGTTGCAATACTATATCGCATTGTGTACGGGGGTGAGGGGTCTTGGCAACTAGCCTCGGTAACATATCACAAGCTTCTTTTAGAGGTTATACAATTTGCAAATTGTATTGAGATGAGAAAAAAAAAAATAACGACCAATTGTTTCAAAATAATTATAAAGTTGTTTAGATTGATTAAATTTCAAAAAACAAAGAATTCTTGGGAACAAATTTTTATAAAAGTAATCAGGCAGATGTAAATTTGGAACTGGATTTGCTGTTATGTAAAAATCTGACAGCGTTGATCTGCATCAATTTCGGTGAATCCTTATTTTAAAAGCACTATATTCCTAAGGACGCACCTTGACGTGGACTGCTGAATCAGTCAAGCGCTCCTGTCCAAAACGGGAAGCATTAACTCCAATACTTTTCAACTAAAATATAGCGCGATAAAATAGGTAGGCAAAAGGGAATTTAGCAAAGAACACTTAAAAATTGTTAGAAGGATAAAGGAATAGTTACAAGATTGGTAACGCTAACACGTTCACTCACAATCTTTTGAATTAATCTTGCAGCCATTTCTTTAAAATTTCACCCAGATTTGGATTTAATCTTCTTAGAGATATTCGTAATTTAAGAACCAAATCACCAACAGCACGGCACAGAACAGCACAACCACAAAACTGGCAAATCTTAATTTCTTGCTTCCCAAGAAATTCGTCGGAAAACTGGCAAAAAAAATCTCCAAACCAATATTGGCTGCTTTTGCGAACTGTCATCGGCATTTACTTTTTCACCAATTTCTTCTCAAATCACGTGCAAAAAATTCACAATAACTGTTAGAATTGTTATTCACAATAGCTTGCTCATTTCAAATTATTACATATACTTATAGTATGTCTGCTTTTCCGTTTTTCCACAAAGCACAGCATTATTAAAGTGATAATTTAAATAGTACTTACTATATAGATTTTCCGTAGAAGAACGTGCAAAACTTTGAAGTAAAAGTTGAAACTAAAAATGGCAAAATATAAGAAATAGGGTGAAATTCCCCACTACGGATAGTCCTCATAGCCGGACATCCCCCATAACTGGAGAAATTTCATGAACTCAACGGTCTATTATTATTTTCATATAAAAGCAATTCCTATAAGTATACTTGAAAGTATGTTTCAATGACCGGACACAGGCACAATTTTGGTATTATTTCGTTCCAAATTTGTCAAGAAAATAGTGTACAACTTGTAGTTCCCGCTTTTTTTATTTCTTACTAATTATTGGTATTTTAGACATTTTTTTAGGAACAATACGTAAAATGATCATAGCAAACAAATTGGTTCGTGGTAGCTCAACGGAAAGTAATGGAGGAATTGTCATTTATTCACTCCTGGCTGACATTAACTCGCATTTATTAGTTCATTAGAAATATAATTCTGAGTTGCAGCTTCGGAATCTAAGAAAACGTTTTAGACACTTGCTTTTGCTACGCCCCCATATATGGACAGCTACCTTTTACGGTGCGTGTTCGGTTATGAGGAATTTCACTGCATAAGAAAAAAATTAAATTTTGATTTTCTTCAATTAACTGTTAAATCATATACGCTTCGAAATTACTTTTAATTCGACATTACCAGAATGGTGTGCATTCAAAATCATTGTAGAAACATTGTAGGTTTATATAATGTTAAAAAGGTGTTCTTTAAAATTCTGATCTCATATCCAGCTATTTTTTAGTCATTTCAAATCTTTGTAAAGCAGAGAATTTATTCAAATACTCGACACTACTGTTGGCTATAAACTTTTTGTATTCTTTCAAGAATTCGTCGTTTTACTTTACTTTTATATGTCAAGAATCTCAACAACTGGAAGGACACAAGTGTTAGAAATTGCTCAAAAAATCAATACGCTCATATATACATACATATACGTTTACTAACACACTACTAGCAGAGATAAAGAGATGTCCAACTCCTCCTCAGAATAGTTGTTAAACGTCAAAACTTCCTGAACTTTGACAGTTGATCGAGTTCAAGAGGTTTTGACGTTTAGTAATTGGAAACGAGTAATGGCCAGATTGAAATCTTACCAAAAAAATTTTTAAACGAAGGGTTGTTGTACTTACAAAAAATGTAAAACAATGGAAATTAAATAAATTTATGAAATTTAAACGTATTTGATAAAACGTTTTGTAATGTCAAGCATCATAGTATTATTTTCAATGGAAATTATTAAAACCATTTATTGATTAAGAACTAAAAAGCTTTAAACCTTTTATTGGGTATTGAAAGGTCAAAAGTCAGTTGTTTTAACATACTATAAAAAGATTTAAATATATTCTCTATGTAGTAACTAACCACTATATAGCAATTTTTATTCTTACTAAATGTTGGTTGTTTTGATTTAAATGGCCAAAATTATTATTTTGTCCAATCTGGCCATAATGGAAAATGTTATAAAAACGCTAATTTTGAAGCGCTCTCACACTGGAATAAGTTGGACATCCCTTTATTCCACCTACTACTTTTCGGACTGGACACAACAATGACAAGGAAATTTTTTTGATACAATTATATGATGCCCAAAATGCCTATAGCCCAAAAACAATATTTTGGAAACAATGTTCGACCTCATAATGGCTTTCTTCTTGGCACATGTTACTCCAGGGCATAATAGTTTCGGTCACCTAATTGTTGTTTGTATCACCTAAAACTAATTGAGATATGTACTAGGTGTGTTCAAAAAGTATCGCGAATTTTGAATTTTCGCGGATTACGTATATTCGAATTTTGAATTTTTGGTGGCGTTATGTTGGTACTTATGTCTCTCACTTATGCCGACAAGCTCGGCGATTTTGAATGTTCATTTAATTGTTGACAGCTGCTTTGCTTGCACGTGTTTTGGATCGTCTTCGATTTTTACCTATTCAAAAAAAATGGATCAAAGAACCTGTATCAAATTTTGTGTGAAAAACGAAATTAAGTGCGCGGATGCATTCCGAATTTTGACTGTGGCATACGGAGAAGCTACCTTGAACCGAAGCAACGTTTTCGGTGGTACAAAATGTTCTCAGAAGGCCGAGAAGATGTGACAAAAATTGGATTTTGCACCACGATAACGCCCCKGCTCACACATCGTTGCTTGTGCGCGTCTTTTTGGCCAAAAACAACACACTAATGGTGCCGCAGTCACTGTATTCCCCAGATATGGCCCCCTGTGACTTTTTCTTGTTCCCTAAACTGAAGAGGCAAATGAAAGGACGACGTTACGCTTCTCTTGACAAGATAAAGACGGCATTGAAGGAGGAGCTGAAGAAGATAAAAAAAAAAGACTTTTTGAAGTGCTTCGAAGATTAGAAAAACCATTGGCACAAGTGTTTAATATCTTATGGGGATTACTTTGAAGGGGACAAAATAGATATTCATGAATAAAGAAATAATTTTTGAAAAAACACAAAATTCACGATACTTTTTGAATCGTATATGTATATGAAGTTATGTACAGTGAAAGCTCCCATAAGCGGATACTGGGTTGACCAACCTTTCCTCCGATTAATAGAATTGTCTTAAATAAAAAGCCATAGCAGAACAATTAAAAGGTATGTGTTCTGCGCTTCTCGGAGTTTTGTTAGATAAAAAGCTGTAGCTTAGCAATAGTCAAAAATGAAGTGCTGTACTCTGCTCTGGCGTAGCGGTAGCAAAAAATTGGGGGCGGTATAAGAGCAGAGCTAATTAAAATTTTTATGTGTTTGTTGTTTTTTTTGTGTGCTATTTTGTGTCATATTTAAATTAAAAGGAAAATAACTAATAATATTATTTTATTTAGAAACAAAAAATCCAATGCCCGGTTTCACAGTCCTTAAGTATGTTCTGCTTAAGATAAAACAGGAAAATAGTGTTTTACAGTTCATACCTAAGTTATGCTTAACTACTGAAAATGGGAGACTTAAGCAGCGCTTAAGAACAGCTGATTTTTGTATCGAATTTTCAGTTATTTGCAAAAGAAGAATAATAAGAAGTTACATTTTGTGAAAAAATATAGAATCGGATTGGTTTTCCACCAGTTCTCATAGGTGCTCCGACTGACTAGCGGTGAAATTCGGGGTTTTCTTTTTGTTGTTTTCATCTATTTTCGACATAACTTTCCTCGCAAATTTATGAATATTTGTTATAATTTAAATATTTCAAACATATTTTTATAGATGACATTTGTAAAACATATTATATATAAACATATAGAAAGTTGCCCATAACGGTGCCGTATATCATAATCAAATTTTATAGAAATTAGGCAATTTGCAATAATGCTTTGCTAAGATTTTATTTAGGCACAACTTGATTATTGACTCTGAAACCGGGTATAAATCGTTTATTCAGTCAGTGTTTAAATTAAATAAAAATTACAAACCTACGTAATTCAGTTACAGTCCTTCTTCACCTAGTCTTTCCAACGGAGTGGAGATCTTCCTCTTCCTCTGCTTCCCACGGCGGGTACTGGGTCGAATACTTTCAGAGCTTTGAGTCTTTTAATTCGGTGAACTATGTCAATGTCGTCGGACATCTCATACAGCTCATCTTTCATCGAATGCGATATTCGCCGTCGCGAACGCGCAAAGGACTATAAATCTTTCGCAGAACTTTTCTTTCGAAAACTCGTAACCTCTGCCTCTGCAGTTTATAGTAGGACGGGAATAATGAGTGACTTACCGAGTTTTGTTTTTGTTCGTCGAGAGAGGACTGAAGGATTTCCACGCTGACATTGTTGGTAGTGTTTACACTGGTTCTAAGATAGACGAAATTATCTACGACTTCAAAGTTATGACTGTCAACAGTGACATGAGAGCCAAGACGCGAGTGCGACGACTATTTGTTTGATGACTGGAGATTTTTCGTCTTGCCCTCGTTCACCACCAGACCCATTTGATTTGTTTCCTTTTCAAGTTTGGAGAAAGCAGAACTAACGGCGGAGATGTTGATCCTTAGGGAGCTCTTGGTATTGCTCAACGTCAGCTTACACTGTCGTATTAGTTTTGCGGGTATACCAAATTGAGATATATAAGGCAGCTTTTTCGTGCTGTCAAAAGCAACTTTGAAGTCGATTCTCTTGATGTTGAAGAGGCTTATCCCACGGTAGTTGGCGCAGATTGTGGGGCACCCTTTTTGTGGATTGGGCAGAACACACATAAATTCAAATCGTTGGGCATGCTTTCGTCCGACCATATTTAGCGAAGAAGCTGATGCATGCTCCTTATCACTTCTTCTCCGCCGTGTTTGAATAGCTTGGCCGGCCATACATCGGACCCGCCGCTTTCTTGTTCTTCAGACGGGTAATTGCTATTCGGATTTCTTCATTTTCGGGCAATGGAACGTCTGCTCCATTCTCATCGATTGGGGAATCGGGTTCGCTTTCTCCTGGGGTTATATTTTCACTGCCATTCAGCAGGCTGGAAAAGTTTTCCTTCCATAATTTTAGTATGCTCTGGCCATCGGTCACTAGATCAACTCTGGCGGTTCTGCAAGGGTATGCTCCGGTCTTGAATCCTTCTGTTAGTCGCATCATCTTTTCGTAGAATTTTTGAGCAC